TTCCAATCTTCATTTCGCTCTTTTATCCAAATGAGCAACCAAAACCGGCGCACGAAAGTGCATGGTTAATGGTTGTAAAAACTGAAACTGAAACTTGGGAAGCCTAATGAGAACGGGGCAAATTAGACGGCTTGGGCGGGGCTCGAACATACGATCAGCATAGGATTGACGACCAACGCGGTCACCAATTGTATGGTGTTATTTTGTTTTCTTTGCTATGAACCAAATGGTTTTGGTGATGCTATCCTCTTGTCCACGTACAAACACATGCTTGTTTTTCTTAACTACTCTTCTGCATTTGATTCCATTCCTCAGTTTAAGTTGTTACAAAAACTGGAATCGTTTGAATGCCCCAAACGATTGTTAGTTTGGCTATCCAACTATTTTACTGATAGAGTACAAACAACTAGACTTGGGAAAGCTTCATCTAAACCCTTAGTCAACAACTCCGGAGTTCTTCAAAGAGCTGTGCTATCTCCATATTTATTTTCCACTTATATTTGTGACATTCCTTGTGTTACTCCTGCACGTATTCTGAAATATGCAGATGACGTCATGCTGTGTTAACCCATTTCTTCTTACTCTGATTCAAGCTCCTTCACCCACAATCTTGTACAAACTCAGTCGTTCTCCTCCTCATCGTGGCTGACCTTGAACCCCAGTAAATGTGTTGAATGTTTATATGGTTTTGTTCGCTGTCCATACCCAACAGATCACACAGTGGCTAATAACACTCTTTACCTAGGATGAACTCTGTCAAATATCTTGGTCAATCCACATCCACAACTGCATTAGTAAACTGCGTCGACCATCATTTCAAATCGGAAATCTCGGGCAGTCTCGCGCATCCCAGTCAGTTATTTCTACCTTTGTTTATCAGTATATTTTCCTCATCTTACTCTACTGTTCTCCAGTTATTTTCCCTGGATTACTCGAACAGGATTTCAAAGTCTTACGCCGCGATCTAACTATTATTAGCCGCGTTTCTTCTATTCCTGTGAATAAGTTAGCTTTAAAGCTTTCAAAGCATCATACAACTCCGTGTGTGAAAGTCGCGGAAAGGATTCTTACAGATCCGGACGACCCATTGCACACAGAACTGACACATTGTCGTTCCCATTCATCCACAGACTTCCAATTCCGCCAAGTTTTATCTCGAATAAACGCTTACCAAAATTCACCTATACCGTATCTTGCTCTTATACCCGCAAACAAAGAGAGAGCAATAAATGAACCACTAATTAGGCACATAGATCGGTGCTGACGCCTATGCCGTTTGTCCTTCCAGATTCGTAAACAGAGACAATTTGTGGCGAGCGCACGAATGAACTACGCCTAGTTCAGTGTATCAGTCCACAGTTGGTATCCCTTATTCTCACGAACATCTTAATCACACCATTTTATGATCGAACTTCAAGTGACCTCTCGTGAAGCATCTGGTCACCGGAGCCCCTGGCGATTGTAACCAGACTCTCTCGAGTATGACATACCTACTGATCGTTTCCGCTTCACAGTTCACACTCTCAGATGCATAGAAGCTCAGAAGTATTTGTAAGGGTTTCAAGTCCCGACCCGACTGATCGCGGTTCGAGTCCTGACAGAGACACAAAAAGTACGCACTGCTGACGAGTCCCAAGCAGGACGAAACAGCTGTCCAATGCTCTTTGTTGGTTATCACAAACATTTCTATTGCATTTAAATATAAACAGTGGGGAATTGACAATCTCCCAAGGAGTGAAACCCACACCCAAAACATTCAAGAGTGCCTGGTGCCTCTGAACAATCGAATAGGGCTAATCAAAGCTTGGTGCTCTATTTGTATTTTTGTATTAGTATAACTTTTGCAAGGTGAGATATGCTTTCATTTCAGTTAAAAATTGGTCGTCACATTGGAGAAAATATAGAAGTTTAGACAAATCCGATAGAGTGCTGGGTAAAAAATGTCTCCGAAGTTTGTTTGATTTATTCAAGTAAAGATTGACGTAATTCATTCATAAGTCGTCTCTTGTCGGTCAAGACTCGAGCCAGATATGGTACAGGGGAGTTCTTATAAATGTTTATTCGATAGGTTAGATACCAATAAGGGCATAGAGTGAGATCGACAAGAAGATAAATCAAAATGCAACCGATGGGAGGGGTCGTTCAGAATCCTATTGGTAAAGGTCATACACGACTTTATATGACTATTATTAAGTTCTGTGATTAATAACTTGTGAGAAATTAAAATGCACGGCTTATTAACATCAATCCACGATGAATAGTTTTAAAGTCTTGTTTCAATAGACCGGGAAACATTACAGGGGAGCAATAAAGTAAAATGGGGAGAACACATTGATTAACGAAGGAGAACAAAACTTGTTGGGAGTGCGAACTTGTCTGAGCTTTCGCAACTGAAAGGAGAGACGCCGAAGTTTTCCCATACAGTTCTGAATGTGTTTCGACAATTTAAACTACACAAACCTCCCTCCATTGGATGTTGGAACGTAAAAACACTCTTACATACCGGGAGTCAGACACGAACGATTCACGCGCTACATAACTATCAGCTGGATATTACATCACCGTCAGAAGTCAGATTGGCGGGCTCCGGCTCCAAGAGTATCAAAATCCCTGGTATCGATAGCCAAAACTGGCTGTATCACAGCGGCAACAGAACGTCGGGTCAACATGGAGTGGTACTTGCTTTAAACCATCGGGCTAATAGTGTTTTACTTTCCTGGAAACCAATATCCTCTAGGATTACAGTATCTCTATTCAAGGGTCATCCAGTAAACCTCTCAGTAGTCGCTCTCGACGACCCGACTCTCCCATCTGACAACAACGTCAAGGATGAGTTCAATGCAGCCTTCAATCGCTTGTTAATGAAATACCCAAACGGGATGTACTTGTCATAGTAGGGGACTGGAACGCTCGAAATGGCCCACAAGAAGAGGCCCATCCTAGGGAGGTTTGGCCTGGGCCATCACTGTGAGAATGGTGACAGACTACTCAGCTTCGCCGATTATGATCGATTGTGTATTAACAACACGCGATTTCAACATCAAAAAAAACATCTTTTGACGGCCGAACAGCACATCAAATTGTGTACGTTCTCATCCGTTCACGATTGGTTTCTTTGATTGAAGACTGTCGATGCTATCGCGAGGCTGAATGCGGTTCTGATCACGTACTAGTTTGCGCGAAATGTTAGACTCCATCTAACAACTCGCAGGAAGACCTTCCCCTCAAAACGCCTAAAGGTGCTTCCACTGGAGAACAGCGAGAAATGCCAGACACAAATGGGTATGATACCTGCGCAGCGGTCAAACGATCCCCTCGGTACACAAGGTAACACAGTGAGCTCGGTTGAAACTCAGTGGACCAGGATAAAGTCTTCGGCACAACAAGCTGCTCTACACGCACTAGGCACTAGATCACGTCGTCTGAAGGAGTGAATATGTGACCACACCGTCCAGAGAGGCACGCCTGGCTCCTCTGCTTATCGCGATCTCAGACGACAAGCAACACGATCAGCCAGAAATGATAGATGCAACTACTGCAATGAAATGGCTACAAAAATGGAGACAGCAGCCAACCTGGGCAACGCAGTGGCCATCTTCCGACTTATTCGATCAGCATTGGACAAGAAACACATCACCAATCTGTGTTGCGCAGCGCTTCCGGCGAGCTCATTTCTGATGCGCAAGGAAAAATGTCTCAGTGGGTGGAACAATTTAGTCCTCTTTTCAATCACCCCCAAATTCAACTTCCGTATGCGTCCTCCTCGCCATCTTCTCTATACGAAGCTAACTGCACTTCACCATCAGTAGAAGTCTCAGATATCATCAGCCATCTCAAGCCACGGAAATCTCCCGGTGATGACGGGATACCCGCCGAAATCTACGCAGTGTTCTTCAGCCATGTAAAACCCCCTTCATAGCTAACTGTGTGCAATTTGGGAAATCAAAATTTGCCTAACTGATTCGACCACATCGATTTTACCACCTTTTCCGAGAAAGAGTGACAAATCAGCGTGCGAAAACTACAGAGGCATCATTTTACCTGATGTGGCGGCCAAGGTTTTTGTACAGCTTTTGCTGAACCGCTTTGCTGCAACCAGGTACACGTGAAATCGTCCTAACCAGAACGGATTCCAAACCGGTATGGACTGCGTTAACTAAATATTCACTTTACGTCGACTCTTGGAACATCGTCACAAGTTTCAACAACCCACAGCAGTCTGTTTCATTGATTTTCGTGCAGCATTCGCTTCCATAGATTGCGAATCCATCTGGAACATAGTTCTGATGATGGTATCCCAGTTAAAATTGTCAACTTAATAAGATCCTACTATTCTAACACTCGCGCCCGAATCCGCATCTACGGCGAGGAGTCATGCGCGTCCCGGCTAAGATCTGGAGTGCGACAAGGGTGCCCATTGTCCCCAATGCTGTTCAACTTCGCTGTTGACTGGATAATGGGTCGTTCGGTGCAAGGATATCAGAGAGTTCAGATTTCTCCGAACTTATGGCGCACCGACTTAGAATTCGCGGATGATATTGTCGTCTTTGGCGAGGACAAGTCCAACCTCCAAGTAATCGTTCACCGCGTCAGTCGACAGGCCTCCGAGATCGGCCTAGAGGTGAAACCGTGTCACTTAGAGCCGAAGACTGTCGCAGACTAGAAGTATTCAATCACTAGTGCTTAAGAATCATTCTGGAAGTATGACGGAGGGATCAACTCTCCAATAAAGAGGTCATAAATCGGTGTCTTAATTTTGTATGGCTGTGGACGATTATAAAACGGCTTCTACAACGGTTTGGTCACGTTCTTCGTAAGTCTGATAACGACCTTACCAAAGCTGTCTTGGTACCGCCTCCCTGTCGGAACTGGCGCTGGTGGACAACTGAAAACCTTGGTCTCCGTTCCGTCTACGGTGTTCGCCAATGGAAGTCTAGCTGGATCACAATCTGCGCTGATATTGCCGCAGATCGCCGAGCGTGGGCAGCGGCAATTCGGGATATCCATAAAGGGGGCTTAGCTTCTCCCAGGAGCCAGTCGCAGTAAAGTAAGTGAGTCGACCACCGAGGATTATTATCGATAGTAACACCCAAATATTGGGCTGAGGTTACTCTAGACAAAAGGTTATAGTTACAGAGTCTGACGGGAACTTAGAGCGGGAAGAACTAAAAATGCACTCTAAGCACTTGGATGTGTTAAAATTAAGTCCAGACTGGTTTGAAAACTGTTGGATTTGGGAGGGATTTTCAGTGAAGGAGGAAAATTCCGAAGAAGAAACGGTCTGACATAAAACGAAATCGTCAGCATACTTTGCGTATGAGCAGGGTGTGTAACTGAAAGATCACTAATGAAAGCAGAGAAAAGATACGGAGAGAGGATAGCATCTTGACGCACACCAGAATTATTGACTAGAAGACTTGTGGTATTCCTACCCAGCTTTGTGCACTAGATTCTTTCGATGAAATAATCGGAAAGGCACGAAAGCAGCTGTCTCGGGGTACCAAAAGGTTAAATCTTAAAAAGGAGGGAAACAAAATCAACGGCAGACAAATAATCAATAAAAACGCAACGAACAGATATGACCGAACTGTTTCATGACTTGCTTATAAAATGACTCAGAGTAGACACTGCATCCAAAGTAGATCTGTTGGGTTTATACACAAACTGGAGAGGATCGTGGAGAATGGTGATAAGTGACTGTAAGTGACTCAGGATTGCTTCCTCAGTCAACTTTAGAACTTAGGGACGTCAATGTAATGGGACGAAAACGTTTAGCAAGAACGGTTGAGGATGAGGTCTTTGAAACAGATAGTATGATCACTGGTCGCCAGGATTCCGGGATCATCTGTGAAGAAAGAGGGAATAATTGGTTGACTTTTAATGGTAGACTCATCTGACTAGCAATAAAACAAACCAGGACGGAGGGTTATATTAATTTGATGAAAGTTTTTCCTTCTTTTTCATTTTTACTTTCTTCAATTCACTGAATACATATTGATACCGCTTTCAGGAAAGGGGAAGTGGCAAATCAAAGGGCCACTATACACAGAATGGGGATGTTAGACGGGGGTGGTGGTGGGATTCGAACACACACGTCCTCCGGGGTGATAAGTTAGTGACGTTGTCATGGGGCCACTACCGTGCTGAATGAATGCTCATGCCATAGTTTTCTCACCACCACGGTGATGAACATGTTTTTCGGCACAAATCATCATTTGCAACACAACATACTACGAACTTCATTGCGAGGGAAGAGCTACCTGAATTGTTAGAGAGATGAGACAGTATGATGACCGGCAAAGAGAACACATTCCAAACTGCATGGAACATTAATTGACACAGTCGAACACAACCAAACCACTTGGTGACGATGATCGTGTGATATGTGCAGGCAACAGCACATCGAGTTGATCGACGCACGTCCTTAAAAATGATTTATACAACAGGCAATGTGAAGTTGTACTTTACTACGGCTGGCTCCTTGGAAAGGATAAGCCAACTCCAGATCATGATCATAATCATGAAGTTCCTTGGGATTTTGGTACAAGAGACGCCTCCAGCGTCATTCGGCGTTTTTCTTTTTATTTTGAGGGTGCACCTCTAGCCTTCGCATAACCAAGTGCGAACTGCAAGGCAGCAGGAAGTAATACCTCGCCTCGGAGGTGAGGGAGTCAATGACTTTATTTTTAAAAGGCCAGTCACATCGACC